AGAAACCCTGTCTCAAAAAAACCAAATACACACACACACACACACACACACACACACACACACACACACACACACACATAAAATTACAAAATACAAATGAAATGGTTCTAGTACTAGCGAATTTGGTGCTATATCTTTTGTTTTCTAATTCATCACAGCAAACATTGCTTCTTCCAACACATATTCAAACAATTTCAAAAATGTCTTCCATAGGTCTGGAATAAATCCAAATTAATGACAGAGATTTATAAACAGATAGATCATAGATGGCTATAACAGTCATGTGTAATGTGTTATTGGCTTTGATAAACAATTCCACTCAGTTATTGATTTTGTATAGAACTACAAAATGTAAAACATGGTTGTTTTAAAAAACAGCATAAGGTATGAACAATAAATTCTTGTGTCCAGTCTTCTGCCTCTCAGAATGTGATGTCTCAGAGGCAGAAGTGGCTCCTGCCAGTATTTATAAAGCTAGCTGACACGTTATATTCAAAACTCAATGCCTGAAAATGACTAACATTACACAATGCAAAAGCAATTGTGTGACACCTCACAAATGTTACTTGTTCAAATATTGATGTGTATGTTCACACATACAAATCTCTTTGAATGACAAATATAAATGCAACAATAAATAAACAAGACCCATTGGCAAAGAAATAAACCCTTTAATTCCCTTTGAGTACTTATCTCCAAATATACACATAAATATCTGAGTTGTAATATGGCAATTCCCAGTGGGGAGGAAAGTAGGAAATCTGAGTCTAAAAGTAGGCCAGTCCTGCAGAGATGTTAACCAATGCTGCTGCCCAGGCTCCAGATGAGGAAAGCACATGGGACAGTTTACTCAAAAGACAAATCTGCGAGGTACACTGTTATTTCAGTTGCTTTGATATACTATCTCCCAGGCCAAGAAAAAGGAAACAGGTTTCTTGCTAGTAAAATTATAAACATTTTTTAGAAATCACACACTTTTGATATGCTTTTTGTGATGCATTTGTGGTAGTTTTCTGATTTTACAAAAATATAATGGCAAAACTTGACTCAGTAAGTCTACATACAGCACAAGCACCTAATTCTTAGAGAAACAACTAACTGCTTATGGCACCATCTTCCACTTGTCGGGTTGATATGTTATATGTGTCTCTACTATATGCAATGATATGAACGGAGTGTCATTCAGTGTTAGAAATAACTTCAACAAAACATTTTGAAATGTAGGCCAGATCATCTTCCCATGACTTCTTATATATAGCAGTCAGTTATTAAACCAGGAGAGAGAAGTAGAATTAGGTCCTACTGTGAACAGAGTTTTAACATGTACAAGTCTTTCCACATGACATAATAGTCTGCATATTCCCACACTGGTTTTGATAGTAATCCATGACAGCTGATTAGGTGACAGGACACATAGACCCTTTAGACCTTCTCTGCTGTCTGATGGGGACTGACGGTTATTTTTTTTTTCATTATTTAAATTAAGGTATTCAAGCAATGTTGGCTGGTAAAAAGAATATATCCTGATAATTTGGAATTTGATGTACAAAATGACTTTCTATCTTTAAATATTATGGTTAAATGATTTGAAAGCAATATTAGAAATACATAGAGTAATAGAATTTAGTCCTTGTCCAATGTTTTTTTCTCATCCAAATTATTTTTGCAATTTTTAAATATAATCATATCATTTCCCTCCTCCTACTAATTTTTCCCATAGCTCTCAATTCTTCTAAAATTCATGGTGTCTTTTTCTTTTTATTATTATTATTACTCAATATTAAGTAATGCTATTCTTAAGAAGAGGTTAGGGTATGATCAGTAAAGACTATCTTTAAAAGGAGTGACAAGGTCTGCTATAAAGCCCAGCCTGGCTTTGTAACTGTAGTCACCCTTTTCCATCAGCCTCCAAGCACCAGGATCAGCTGGACTGTACCAACCACAGCTGGCTCTATAACTTTTTATATTAGATAAACGAGCCTTCAGCCGGGTTTGACGGTGCAAGCCTTTCATCTCCAAATTTAGGAAACACAGGTATGCGGAGTTCAAGGCCACCCTGGTCTACATCAGGCAGCCAGGACTAAATAGTGAAACAAAAACAAAATAAAATGAACTTTGGTTTCTCAGTACCAGTCTCCCATAGCATTCATGAGTCATGCAAGTATCTGAGCAAGTTGCTTCTCAGTTTTAGCTTCCTTGTGTGCAGGGAAATGAGATGACTGGCATCTAGACATACTGTTAAGTCATAGCAAGCAAGCATCTGGTGGTTGGTGCTGTTTAGTGAACAGAGCTCGGCACAGAGCAATAGGCACACAGGTATCTATCGTGTGCTTTTCTTTTTCTCTGCTCTACTGCTTTGGTTATTATTTCTGGTGGGTTCTCTACTTCAGGTATCCTACTTGAAGCCATTCCTCTCCAGAGGAAACTCATGTCAGCTTCAAAATGTTTTCTTTTCCACCATTCTGCTGCCATTGGTAGCCATCTACTCATCTATTACCTTTCCTATTTCTTTCTACCTCCTAAGTGGCTTCACACAAACCCTCGTCAGTAAATCTCTCAGTCATTATCCTTTTCCATCTTTCATTGCAGTCAGGATTTCTTCCTTTGTGTTTAGATAATGTTCAAATTGAATTCGCACCGAAAGCCCAAGTAGATGCTATAATCAAGTGACTGTAGCAATGTCAAAACACTGAAATGTCCCAAGAATGTTATGAGAAAATGTGAAAAGACACAGAACATAATCAGCAACCTTCTCAAAGGCTTTACATTTATTAATTTTACTTATACTAAAACGATTTTTAACTGGCCTTTTCATTTCTAAAATTTCTACCTAAAAAACTAAAGATTACCAAACAAGAACCCCTACATCTGTTTCGCCTATACCCTGTCTAAACATGCTAGACTCCTCCTTTATAAAAAGAACATCTGGAGCAAAGTATAATTTCTGAATGAAAAAAAAAAGCACTATCATTATAGAAACTGTTTCCAACATGATGTATTTCAAGTGAAGTCCAATGAGCACGGGGAAAGATCACAGAGTAAAAACATTTTTAACTTGATATTTAAATATTATTGAAGTAAATAAATAAGCATTTATTTATTCATTGAATGAACTTCATGAAACTACTATAATTCTTAGATTAGACTTTCCGACTCTGTACTTGCATGAGCTTTCGCATTAACTTCACTGTTTTCCTTAGGACTGCCCGAACCCTCTCCCACCTCTGCCTTCAAGAGCTGTTCTGTAGTTAAAGATATTCCATTCCTCCCATTCTGATTTTCAAAACCTCTCATCCTGCAAGGCTCTTCAGCGTGCTTTTGGGATAAGGAACCAATGACCAGTAGTCAGGAGTCCTAAGTTATAGTACTGTCTCAGCCATTTCTTTAGTATAGAAACTTAATAGGCCATTTTATATCCTTTGATTTTTATTCCTATCTACAAAAAAAAAAAAAAGGAATGTGGCCAGGTGATGCCTATTAAAAAATAATAATGGAGAAAGCTGAAGTCTGAGTTGTTGATAGTGCTTGGCTAAACACCTGACCCTTTACTTCCCCCAAGATCACGTAAAAATTAACTCAGGAATGCACTGAGGTGGTTCTGCACCAGTTACTTTTACCCAGAATAAGGAGGCAGATTAATATACTGTTTCCAGAACAATGAGGCGGGGGTGGGGTGGGGGGAGTGAGTGTGATTATGAAGTTTAAAGACTTCCATAAAGATACAAAGTGAAGCTTCTTATACTTAACAGAAAAGCTAAATCAATAATGTTTAAAACTACAAACACGTTGTGGGAAAATTGGAGATCATGGAAAGATCAAATGCCCACATAGAGACACCAGGCATAATATTTTATCTTGGACTTCTCTCCAAACATTTCCACACCCTTTAACATCCAAGTAGAATTAGGTTATCTTTGTCTAAGGATGCCATTTGCTTTCTGTAATTTGAGTCCTACCTTTATCGTCCTTCACTAAGTTCTTGACTTGTCTAGACTTTCCCACATCCTCCAATCTCCACAAAACTTGCACTGGTTTTTATCAGTGAGTCAGCAGCTCCTTCAGCTGTTTAGGAACCAAGGAGCCTGCATTTATCTGTGTATTTCCTTCTCTTACTCCTCACTTTTCCTTCAAAAACCACAGTGAAAGCTCTTCAAATAAGTTAATTTTTATTATCATATCATCCCACATACAGAGAAAGCAATTACATATTCTATGGAAAGAAACAAAGTAACAATTTTATAAAATTTAAAGCTTAGAGTTAAATTTTCTAAGTTGGATTGACTATATTAACCTATGTATTGTTCTATTCATTTGTATTACTGAGGTTCTGTTGCAATATAGAATACAAATGGAGTCTCAAAGTGTACTAAGCATTCTCTTATTAATAGAAGCCTTTTACCTACCCCATATAATAGGATAATGACTGACATCCTGAAGTGAGTTCCAGGTACTCAGAGTGAATAATACAGTACTTTTAGCACTAAATATATTTTGATAAATAACACTTTAAAAAACAACAAACAATATTTTGGTGGCTATTTCCTATTGTTTCAAATAAGTCATATCCTAACTATATTTTCATGGATTAATATTTCCTAATGTCCTCAATAGTTTGTAATTATAATAATAAAACCTATTTGGAAAAGCTTCAACACAAAAGGGAATATACTGCATCATACACCTTCAATGTAGGATATATTGTACAAGTGGGACCACGGTATTACTACTCCCACAAAAACATGCAATGAGAAAAGAGTAGACACTTAAATAAGATGAGCCACAATATGCAGAATGGAAAAGCTACTATAAGCACATTCACTTGTATAGAGCACACAAGAGAAGCTTTGGAAGCACATAACACCTAGGAGACAAGGGAAGAGCAGCTCATCTAAAGAAAAAATAGCTATGGCAGATTCAAAATTATTAGTGGTTAGATTAAAAAAAAATCAAAGCAACACAACAAAATAGCAAAGGACAGAAGTCAAGAACAAGTGACTTACAGGGATTCTTCTCCAGGGTGTCTGGGTGTATTTATCAGCAAATGTACACTTTTCCTCTTTAGATTTCTGGTGGCAGTTACACCGGGTTGCCTGGACAAAACCACAAATGTTTAAAATGATTTTATTCTGCACATACACACAGGTAGAGGCTGTGTTAAGAAGAACAAGCCAAGTTACCAGGTCACATAGTACAATGCAGCTCTGGCTACTTCCATGGCAGACATGCCTACATCAAACATCAAGGTCTATTCAGTTATCTCCTCTTTTTCAGGGACTGGATTTGGGATAAAGCAGTGAACTATAATATTTCTTTTGACAATCTTTTAAACTGTCTGAAAAACTCACTATATATAATTTTATGTATTTAAAAATGTACAACATCAATTAGAATATATGCAGCAATCAAGGGCACAAAAAGAATACTACTGAAAAATTATATCCCTTTTCTGATTTATTTTGATCCTGTTGTAGAGTACTGTCCTCTGCCCCTAACAGCCATGAGCTTCATCAGATCGTCATCCGATGTAACTACTTGCAAGAGAACTTTAAGATTGGGTCTGATGACATTGCTTCGAAAGATGGGGTAGAAGGTTCCAATAACTCACCTGAGATTGTAGCCACTCTTTTCTGAACCCTCCAGCCAGCTATATCTACTTCTGTCCTAATGAATATGGCCCTGTGATCCTAGGCATGCTAGAGTTTATATTCTGTGGAGCATTAACTAAGGGGGACTCCATCTATGCGGCTATGGAATGAGAACTCCCAGGGGTATGAGTGCTTTGGGCTCACCTGTGCTCCTTTAAGCAACCCTTCACCCCTACTCTGAAAGTAAACTCAGTAGACTCACTGGTTCCCCAAGATGGACTTTGGTGGAACTGTTGATGATGCCCAAAAGGAAGAGTAGATGTTTGTTTGTAACTCTCCAGACAAAGTGTTCCAGCAACAAGTACTAAAGACAGTTTCTTAATTGGATCTCTGACGGAACTCTACTGGGTATTAAATACAAACAGTCTACATGCTGTGACTGTTCCTCTGTGCAGTGCTACAAAGCCTCTTTAATGACCTTTACTGTACTGGAATATTAGCAATTGAAAATATATTCTCTACACAATTCCTGTCAACTGCTTTTGACCCTTTAACCATATCTTATCTGTCTGCTCCTATTCATTCATGAGTTGGATTCCTGAAATATGACCTTAGTGGCACAGAGTTCACTATGCTATATCCTTGACATTCTGAATCAAAGTAGTATTTTATAAAGCTGAATTTGCTGTTATGTTGTTTGATTTCGAATAAATATTCTCTTTTAATTTTTGTGATTTTATGCAATATGTTCATTTTAGTCTGCCCTTTTAATCATTACACACTATCCTATAACTGAATTCAAAGTACCATACAAACTGTTTTCTCATGAATATTTGAAATCACAACAATTACAAAATTATGAAGATTCTAGCAAGCCTAACTCTGAGGAATCACTTATCATCATTCACAGAAATGAAGTATTTCCCTAGAATCTCTTTCAATATAACACAATACTCAAGGCCAAGCACTTGGTGTCACTCTACTTACAGAGAGAAAAATGCCCAGGTACTCATTTCTCAAAACATGTCTGAAAGAAAGCCATATACTCTGCATTAATAAGCAAAAGTAAATAAAATAGAGAATTTTAAGTCCTTACAAAAGAGGCCATCAACATGAACCAACAAAGAAGTATTCACATGAATACTTTATATTTTATGTAAAAGTTCCATCATATACTTTAACTGGAACACATGTCTCTAAACACAATGCTACATGAAACTCTGAAAGCCAAAACAAAGTCAAGCTCCACTCTTGCCCATTCTTATACAAGCAAATACAGCTCCCTGGTGAAGAGCCTGTTTACAGTCTATAATACTTACAAGCCGATGCTCTAATAGTTGGATTTTTTCATCTTTTTTCTTTATTTCCTCTTTAAGTTGTTTTATTTCATTTAATAAATCTTCATTCTGAAATATGAAAAACACTGTTACATAAAATAGTCTAATGAGAAGCATAAAGTCAATGAAGTCAAATAATGAATGATTACTTGTTCATTTAAAAGGAAACCTATTAAATTTTAGAAAGATTTCATGCTCTAACGGCAACTGACATGCAAACAATGGGCAAAAATGGAAGTAACTGCTAACATTCACCAAGTTCTCATTTGAATTAACATTTATGCTGATCTTGGCTACACAGAGATACGTGCTGTTATTCTTTGTATTAACATAATAAAGAAACTAGGCCAAAGGTCATACAGTAAAGGAAATCACCATGCAAAACTAACTTCAGCTAAAATTTTAAGGGACACTTATAAGCTGTCTGTCAGAAAGCATCAAGGGCAGGGCAGACAGAGGAAATGATGTTAATTAATATATAGGAGAAATTTCAAGATTGGCTCAGAACTCAGCAAAAGATAAATATGTCAGCTGAGTACCAGAGAGTGTTCTTCAATGAGCCACTTTCCTGACAAGCACTGACTGAATTCAAGTGAAAGGCACCAGCCAACTTCATCAACCAGACATAGTCAATACTGTAAAATGGAAGTCCTTGTCAAGTTAAGCAACATTCCGACAACATTTCTAAAAATGGCAAGTACTGTTAACCTAACCTTAGCCCATTTTGTGTACTACTACTCAACTGTCCACATATATACATATACTGAGGAAGTACTATAAGAAATCAGAATGTATAGTTTCATGAAAGATTTTTCTAAAACAAAAACATGTAAACAAATAATGATTATGTGTTGTTACTGAGCAAAATATGTCATCTCCTTCAGATACAATCCAATAGAGATTCACGGTGAATATAATTAAAATACATAACATACATGCAAGAAATTGCCTTTTTTAAGTTTTAAAAATGCAATTATTTTAATAAAAGATCACAAGTAAACACTAAACACAGGTTTTTGGGATATGACAGAAGTCATCCAAACGACAGGGCAAATCAGAGGTTAATTAGGAAAAACCATAAAAGCTGGACTTGAAGATAAAGAGCTTAGGAAGTGAAAATTTGTAAGAGGAAAAAAGACGGATTAGAGAACATGAAAGATACATGAATATACTAAGGACACATTTCTACCCTGTACAAAAAACAAAGTCAATATGATTTGATGTATATAACTCATTATACAAAATCCTAAGTCATAAATATCATTAACACTGAGGTGAAAACAGGATGAAGGACTTATTGTACCTCAAGGACAGGATGAGACCACATTCAAGGCTTGCCAACTCTCACAAACACGTAAGTGGTAATTGTCAAAGAAACAGAAAATACTAAAATACTGTTTTACAGACACTGATGAGCAGAAACATATCCTATATAATTAAGATTATTCAAAACTGATATATCGGACCTAGCATCAAGGTGCTATTTGAACATTTACAAGTTTACAACTTGTTTTCCAAATGAAATATGACAACTTGATGGAACACTATGCAACCATTATTTATGTAGACATGGCTAGTTTCTACAGTATTAAAGAAAATGTGCCCCATGTGACATTCAGATACAGTACACAACAGTACAACAGACACTACAGACTGACACTTTACATCACAGGTGTACTGGGTGGTTTTGTGTGTCAACTTGACACAGCTATAGAGTCATCAAAGGAAGGAGCCTCAATTGAGGAAATGCCTCCTTAAGATGCAGCTGTAAGGCATTTTCTCATTTAGTGATCAATAGGGGAGGGCCTAGCCCATGGTGGGTGGTGCCATCTCTGGGCTGCTGGTCTTGGGTTCTATAAGAAGGTAGACTGAGCAAGCAATGGGAAGCAAGTCAATAAGCAGCTCCCCTCCATGGCCACTGCATCAGCTACTTCTGAGATCCTGCCCTGTTTGAGTTCCTGTCCTGACTTCCTTCAATGATGAACAGCAATGCTGAAGTGTAAGCCCAATAAATCCTTTCCTCCCTAACTTGTTTTGTGGTCATGGTATTTTCATTACAGCAATAGAAACCCTAAGTAAGACAACAGGAAAAAATATGCCTGTTAGGAAATAGATTCCAGGAAAGTCTTGAAATGAGCAGAAGGTCTAAAGACACAGAGAAACACTGCAAACTTTGGCTCCCATATAATACCCAAAGTACCATACAATACAGAAATGAGGACAAGCATAGCACATCCAGAGAATCACATGTGTTCTGCCACACACATGCTGTAGTAAAAAATAAGAAGTAATTTTATTTTAGCTAAGAAACTAGGCAACGGTCACCATCAGAAAGGACCATGGCTAGCAAATCAGAGAATGGTAAAATTTGAACTTGAGATGGCTTGGAGAGTTTGGAGGAAATTTTTAACAATGACAAAATGGGCTAGAAACCTGCAGTACTCCAGATGAGAACAGAAGCCTGAACCAATAAAGTGATCATAGCTTTGAGGAGACTTGATAATTTACACCACGGGGAAGAATTCAAATCCATGTTTTAGCTTGAGTGACATGACGAATAGCTATGAATCGGAAGAAAGGGAGAATATAGGACACAATGAATTACTGCATCTCAGCTTAAATAAGATGTAAATGATGAATGATCTACTAGACACAAAGGGCATAGGGAGGCGAATTAATGTCAACTGTCAATGTGTCTATCATGCAATACTAAACATATGGACAAACTAGATATGAGGAACAATGAGAACAAGGCAATGTAAAAAGTTGAAATTATTTGTCTCTTCACAGCAAGTTCCTGGGCTGGTGTGGTGGCACATCCTTGTAATCACAGCACTTCAAGTGAAAGTAGGAGGATCTGGAGTTCAAGGCTAGCTTTAGCTACGCAGGGGCTAGCCTCAGCTATACAACAAGCTACACAGCCTCCTGGACTACATAAAACCTTGTCTCAAAATCAATTCTTTGTTTGTATAAAACCTAATAAAACTTGAGGAAACGTTTAATTTGAGGAGAAAAAATGTCAGTCAGAAAGCTGAAGAAAATTTAGATACTCTCCGAGGTCACCTAAATCACTGACTTTAAACTGGATGCAAAATAGGAAATGGTTTTCTAAATAAGCCACAATCTGCAGATCTGCTAGTGTGGAACACTACCTCACTACCAGTCATGTGGAAACCCACAGATGGGAAGCAATTGAGTGATGACAGGTAGTCAACAAATGGAAAAGGCCAGATTAGTAGCCCAATGTAACTACTGTGCTATATTCTTAGGATTATGATGGCTTCGTATATCATTAGGTTCTTGGGGAATTACTAAGATACCTATAAGCAGCCTATGAGGCTCTGTCCAGCATTTCCAGCCTAGGCCACCTGAATCATCTGGAAGTAGCATTTGCTACGTCCAAGCAGAATTCATATGAATTTCTTCAAGTTCTTCTTCCTTTATACAACAATGCTATGTCATACCATAGGGCTGATCATTCAAGTTGGCTCTCAGATTGAAGATGAATAAAACAGAATTTCAGCTAATAAACAGACCATGTGTAATTAAGTGAGATTTAGCATTATGTTAAGTCACTAATGTTCTGAGATTAACTGTCATTGCAATGACTAGCAAACATGGGCAATTACAGCTTGAGGAAATGGGATGTAAATGCTTTATCTTGAAAATATTTAATGAGTCAAGAATATCTGTATATGCTTAAGAAATAGTTGTAAAAGCTATCCACTAAGATCTAAAGATCATGAGAATTATACTTCCAACTGATTATTAAAGCATACACAGATTTACTAACTAAATTTTCAAACATGGGAAGGGTAACCACATTACCTGAATATTTTAATTTTATGAATATATAGAATATATATATATATGAATATGTATACCATTTTAATTTTATTGGAAACCTTATTTTGGTAATTATTATTCATGGTTATAAGCAACAGTATTAACACAGGGTCAAATTACTTTCCAACTGACAAGGGATAAATTTAAGTTAAAGCATCACGGAGCTATCATTTTAGTTTCATACAGTGGCAAAGGTTCAGAGGAAATCTGATTGCTTTCCCAGAATGCAAAGCTCTAGGTTGGCTTGTTTTCTGTTGTAGGGATTGATCTGACTCACTGCCTTGTGGGTGTTAAACAAGTATTTGACCAATGAGCTACAATCTCAGACATTTTTGTGACAGTATCTCACTACATGGCCCGGATAAGCCTTGAACTCACTGTGTAGCACAGGAAGATTTCAAGTCAGCCTCCTGATTGGTGAGATCTATAGGCATGTGCCACTACAATCTGCTAAAAGCTGTAGAATTTTAATACCTCTATTATTCAAAGCTTAAAATGTTATCGCCATATTATTTTTATCGTAAAAACTTTGAAATCTTCAGCATAATTACCTAGCCATACCTTATATATCTGATCACCGTCTTCTGGCTCTGGACTGGATGGCAATGACAGCTCAACATCATGCAATGATCCGCTTCCATCATGCTACCAGGAAAAAAGGTCAAGAATGAAAGATTAATACAATAATCTCCAACATTCACTCAAATACTGGCACAGAACAAGAGGTGAGACTTCAGAAGGCTCCTCTCACCTCTGCACTGGCAGAAGAAAATGTAAAAGGGGAAAGGAAGGTGGGTAAAGACAACCCAAGGAAACAGCAGAACCACTAAACAGAGTTAGAAAAGAACTATAGGAAACATCCTAAAGACATTTAAAACTAACTCAGTTAAGAAAAAAAAATGGGAAATCCAGTTGAATTTTCTTTGACTGAGATAGATTTTTGAGTATAAACAACTCAGAAATAGCATTTTAAAACTCATCAAAGCCTGGCCATAAAAATCATTTGATTAAACACTAGATACATGAGAACATGTGTCACGTGACTCTACGTAAGATGTTTGAAAAAAAGGCCAAATGATATACAGTGCTGAAAATCGGAATAGACACATACAAAGGTACTGAGCAGGGAGGAACGTTGGGGGACATATAAGAGGAAGCTGGAAATATTCTATGTCTTAATGAGATGGTGCCATAAAATCTACATATTACAAGTTCAAACTTATTATAAGTATGTCTTTAGCACTCTACTAGCTACAAAATGTACCTCGCTAAGAAAAAAGTGAAAAAAACAAAGTATTTCATCCTTAAACACCATACTGTAAATGAGAGGATACTATTAAGTTCTGGTCTTTGCTGAACTGACTTACTATAAAAGAAAAAAAAAGTTCAATGATTCAAAGAGACAATCTCAAGAAAGATGAACCAGTACAGAATGAGCCAGAGGTGATATTGAGGAACTGAGGCCGGGCAATGCAGCACAAGTTCAACAACACCAAGAATACTGCCTTCCTCAGTCACACATGTTCAGAGTCCACATGACCATGGATTTACCTGAACTGAGACAGAAGTATTGAACAGGAGAGGGGTGCATTTAGGCTATTTGTTATAGATCATGTCTATTCAATCAGAATCCGTAGAGATGGGCCGAAGAACATGTATTTTAGCAAAGCTTAACAAGCAATACAGATTAACTAGTAAGCATTTGCCAGATTCTCAGCATTAGATAAATTACATTTCTACTAGTGATATTATAGACACTAAGACCTGAGAAGAGAGGTAGTATCCTGATAACAGTAAAAGTTCTCAGAAGTGTGTGTGTGTGTGTGTGTGTGTGTGTGTGTGTGTGTGTGTGTATGTGTGTGTGTGTGTGTGTGTGTACATACGCATGCATATGTATGTGCCATCCTCAGGAATGGCATTTTGTGTATATGCATGTGCCATCCTCGGGAATGGAATCCATTTCTTTTGAGGCAGTCTTCCACTGGCCTACGATTTACCAGTTCGGCTAGGAATCATCTCCTCTCTTTGCTTTCCCAGTGCCACCACACACCTAACATTTCACCCATGGGTACTGGGGATCAAGGATCAGATCCTCGTGTTTTCAAGACAAGTCTCTGACTCACTGAGCCATCCCTCCTAGCCCCAGAACATTAAATTTTGAAAATGGTTTTAAAACAAAGAGAAAGGGAAGAAGGTAGGAATGGAGTGATTATTTTACAAGACACATCTCAATAAGAAGTCTATCTCTACCCTAATGACATGACATACCAATGCAGGCTAAGTCTTACAAAAAAGTATATTTGAGAAAAAGAAGCTCTGAAAATGTAGCCTATTTCCAAACATCTTCCTGCTCATTGTACAGAACCCCAAAGAACAAGAGAAAACACAGCACATACTGTTTTGCAATCACTGTGGATGTAGGTATGGGACGTATGCAGCAGGGCAAAATAAATAAATAAAGCAAGGAAGCAAGCAGGCCCCAGTTTCCTGGGTGAAAGAAAGAGAGAGCTCAGCTAAGATGAAAATACCAGGGTTGAAAAATACCAGAAAAACCATTAAATTGCATCTAAATTCTTAGGTACAACCAAAACACAATTGCTCTTGAACAGCTTGTCAAAGTTTGAAAGATAGCCAAGAAAGTAAAAGCACACCCAGCAGGCACCAACTAGCCTCTGCTCAGCACCTAACTGAACTGTGGTTTCAATCCAGAGCTTATAGACTGAAGTCTATCTGACCTTTCCCTGCTCTAGGAAAGGGGAGTGTGTGTGTGTGTGTGTGTGTGTGTGTGTGTGTGTGTGTGTGTGTGTGTGTGTGTGTTTCATTCTTTAATGAAACTAAAACAAGATGAAAAACTTCAAACAGAAAAATGTCAACTCACACAAACACCAAAGCCATAAACGGCACAGAATTTATAATTAAGTAGAAAAGGTGTATTAACAACTTATCAGAAAAAGTTTCATGGGATAAGGGGGAAGAAACCTGAGCAGAAGTGGGCAGGGGGGACAGGTAACCAAGTAAAGCAGTGTACTCACAAGGAAGGTAGAAGAAGCCATAAGCTGGTGTCATTATGTAATGACTTTATTTATGACACTTTTGAATATACACTATGGCCTCAAAAAGTTAACTTCTGTAGCTGATAGTAAAGCGTCAAACTCCTGCTCTAGGCTACAAAGGTACTGACACATCCTTAAGAATTTATTTCATTCCAACACTCTCCTTTATTATCAGGGCATTAAGATTAGAAGTCAATTTAAAAACCAAGGCACAATATACTCATTCCCCCACCCCACCCCAGGCAGGGTGCCATGAAGCCCAAGCTAGACTCAAACCTGCTGCATAGCTAAGGATGACCTTGAATTCCATTCCTTCCTGACTCACCCTCAAGTGCTGGGATTACAGGCAAGATGCCACCATGCTTAGTTTAATGGGGGAGCTGGAACCAAATCAAGGGCTTCATGCCCAGCAGAAAAGCACTCTACCAACTGGGCTCTCTCTCCAATCCCCAAACTAATTTTGTAAAAACTGGGGGAAACTATATAGGCTAGCCTAAGATACCTAGGAATTATTAATAACTAAGTTGTTTCTACATCTTAATTTTTTTTAAATTTTGCATTATGTTTTTTAAAGCCTAGCAATTTAGATTTAGAAGATCAAAGGGGAAGTAGGCTTTGACTTAGATCAAAGCACAGGAGTTTAATTATCCTCTACATACTCTTCACCTGAATTAATTAGGAAGACTACTCCTCCCTTAAATAAGACACTCACAGTGGTAGTATTCTATTTAACCCTGACTAAGATGAAAGTATCTGGGCCAAAATTAGAAAATAATTCTGAGACATGTAGAAACATAAGGAAGAAAATTATACATGGATTGAAAACATTTTATTTTTAAAGATGGTTTGGCAGTAAGGGCGCTTGTCACCAAGCTTGATGACCTGAGTTCTACTCCCAGGAACCACATGGTGGAAGAAGGAAACAAACTCTTCCAAGTTGTGCTTTGTCCTCTGCTCTACACACACACATACAATAAATTAATAAATTAATTCATTTAATAAATGATACTAAGAAATAACCTCACACGTGATTTCTTTACTTCACATTACACACAATAAGGAAGTAATATTTATGTTGGACACTGTTTTCAGTGTTCTACATAAGCATATACATAAGAAAATAAAATATAAAGCATACCAACTGAACAAAGCATAAGCAATTTGGTTAACTGACTGCCTGAATATTCTGGATTTTTACTGAGTGAAGTATCAGCAGTTTCTTTAGACTTAAAATTCTAAATGTACTTATGCTAATGTATTCATCAACAAATAAAAAAAGATGTGTTTTCAGACTGAGGGTTGAATCCAGGGTCTTGTTCCCAATAGGCAAGAACTCTACCACTGAGCTACATCCCCAGTCCACATTGTCATTTTATTAAAAATGAATACATCTTCTCATCTGGAAGCATGTAAGGGTGACTGTCAGCCAGGCTTCTTCCAGTGGTTTTTGTTTGTTTGTTTGGTTGGTTGGTTGGTTTTTGTTTTTGAGACAGCATGAAAGTAAACTTCCAGCCTGATATGTCACTTCCACATTATCCACTGGAAAACCTGGTAAAGGCCATCTTACCCAGGAGGTTCTCTCATGAGTTTGCAAAAGCTGGGGTCTTCCTATGAGTTCCAGAGCAGCTGCAACGGACATCGATACTTGAACTAGTCAGCAAAAGATTCTGGCAGCACTGACCCGCCTGTGCTGACAAGCATCATCAATGATGTCAACAAAGCTGCTTTGTGTTCAGACAGGCTAGAGCCAGTCATAGAGGCATCTCAAGAAAGAAGCCGGGCGGTGGTGGCGCACGCCTTTAATCCCAGCACTCGGGAGGCAGAGCCAGGCGGATCTCTGTGAGTTCGAGGCCAGCCTGGTCTCCAAAGCGAGTTCCAGGAAAGGCGCAAAGCTACACAGAGAAACCCTGTCTCAAAAAACCAAAAAAAAAAAAAAAAAAAAAAAAAAAAAAAAAAAAAGAAAGAAGCAGAGGATGGGGAAAAAGCTTCTTTTTATTGTCAAAAGTTTGTTTCAAAATGTTTGTTTGTGAGTTCAAAGATATATGAACAAACAAATCACATTGAATACAGTTCACAATGTCAACTAACAATTTTGAGTACTAATGTCAGTAACTGATCTATGGTGTTTAAATTCTAATAATACAAGCAACGTTTGAGGATGTAAAAAGCAGAGATTTATAAAGCCGATTTTCAGTTTTTCAGAAATGAGTTGATCCTAACAGATGGCTGAGGTAAAGCATCTTAAACAAAAGAAAAATTGTGACATTTTAAAATATATAAGAACGTTGAAATGCATGGAACAACTCATCATAGTATTTTGAGAAAATACTATCTGTAAACCTATGTTTAAATTTAGCATTAAATGTAAGTAACGCATCTCTGAATCTGGACATGTCTTTCTATACTACCCGCCCCACCACACACATGCACTTAAAAACATTACTTTTAGCTAGGCATGGCAGTGCATGCCTATAATCCTAACACTTAGGGCTGAGCTACGATATGAAGCTTGCCAGCTTGGAGCACCTAACAAGACATTGCTCACCACCACTGCCCAAAATACATAAGGAACAAAGGAAGGAAGAGAAAGGG